TTTTTTTTTTTTTTTTTTTTTTTTTTTTTTTTTTTTTTTTTTTTTTTATGGAATTACAAATAACAAAAAAAAAAAAGAACTCTCTTCTCAAGATTCTTCCTTCCACAGCCAATGGTCAAAAGTAACACCCACCCTTCCCCAAACAGTACGTGGCAAAATCTCAACCATTAATCGAGATCCACCACCCGATCCGCCATTTTCATCATCCCCAGAGAAACACTACGGCTAACCACAAAGTTGAGCCCACAGCCAAAAGCAAGTTTCTATTATCACTGAAACCCACACTGCCGCTGCCATCGTTGAAACCGCCGCTCCCACTCGGGCTGATTCCGTTGTTGAACACCGATGGCGTCATTCCCGGACTCGTCGACGACGGCGTCCCTGGTGGAGTCATCGTCGGCATCCCTGGTGGAGTCATCGTCGGCATCCCTGGTGGAGTCATCGTCGGCGTAGTTCCACTGGGGCTCGTCGGTGTTGTTCCCGCATTGCTTAAATACAACAAAAACCGGCAATAAAATAAACGACATGTCGATACAGATTTAAAGAAATCGGAAGATCTGGAGAACAAGACGACAAGGATAGTTGACGAGAAAAAAAAAAAAAATCATCATCATGTACAGCTCACGGCACCAAACAGAGTGGTTCAGGTCAGTTCATATAATGCTCTCACTAGATCTAATCATAACTCCATTACCCAAAAAAATTTTAAAAATAAGAAAATCGAAGTATATCTCCAAAGCATTGAAACCCAGCACCGACAAGTCTCTGGTATTAGTCAAAAATGGCGACATTGAAGTATAAAGAAATCGATGGCTTCAATTAAGAAAAAATTGCCAAATATTATTGAATCTGAAAGCAACAAGGACAAATTTGGTATCAGGCTTGGAAAAGGTACCTGGGGCTAGAAGGATAGACGCAACCAGAGGGCACGGCTGTAAAAAATTCACAAGGAAGAAGATGAAATCAGTGGACAATAACGGGTGTAAACAGGACAAAAGGGTAATTTCGAGGGTCCGGCTTACTAGCGGTGAGGGTAACGCTGGGCGTGGCGGCGCCGCTGAAGTCGCAGCTTCCTTGGACTTGTCCCTTCCGCTGGAAATAGCTGTTGACGGCGTAGTTGCAGTGATCTTTGACGGTGTTGGGCTGAAAACAAGCGCCATTGGTGAGGATTGGAGAACAGTCAGCTCCAGCTCCACATGCGTAGTCTATTGCCTTTTGAAGGATTTGTTGGCTCACCCCATCTCTACACAAGCAATAGTTGGCATCTGAAACGCAATCAAAAACCAAAATCAATGAAAACCCATAAGGGAAATCTCAAGAAAAAAGCCCTGAAAAAAAAACCCATGTCGAAACTTACAAGATCGACCAGTTATGGCAAGGAAGAACACTAAGAATGCTAAGACAGCCATGATTGAAGCAATACAGAACGCAGGGCTTTAAAGAACTTGAAGAACCCTAAAAACAGAGCTCAGATTTCAATGGTGGCAAGAAAGAGCTATGGAAGAAGAGAGCGGTAAGGAGAGGGTTTCTTGATTTTTCTTTTTAATTTTTTGGTAGAAATTAAAGAGAATTAGAAGGGAAGGGTCATTATTATATACGAGCACGAATACGGTCAGTTTTAGTTTATTTTTTATTTTTAACGCATTTTGAAGTAAATTAAATATAATTTAGATGAAGTATCTATGGTGTGGGAAAATGCGCATTGGGCGCAGAGCAGGGAAGCTTTGTGTCATGCATTTGACCGTTTGTGTAAAATTCGCTCAAACGGTCTTAAACCCACGTGGGTTATCATAACCTAACCCCACTTTTACTCAACCCAACCGAATGGTTAAAGCTGGGCTGGTAGGCTGGTTTGGTGATGCCTTTGGTCCTACGCTCACCCGTCGGTGTGTCACCGCCCCTCCTTTTTTTTTTTTTTTTTGTTTTCTTTCGAGGAAAACCTCCCTCGACCTTCATTCATCTGTCTTTTGTTCTTTTCTATTTTATGTACAAATTCCAGTTTTACTGCCATATTTAATTGGAAAATAATGTCATATTTTGGTTGAAAGTTACCGTTCGATAATATATTTATAATAAAAAAATACTCTCTCTATTGATAGGAGACATTTGATGAGAGTTTATGTTCAAAGTGGACAATATCATATCATTGTGCATTATGTAGAGTCGTGATTCCTAACAATTTTCATCCATTTATTTAAAATTTATTTATTTATAATATATATTTTTTCTTCCAACCAAAATTTGTCTTCAACACCACTAATTATTAAAAACGTGTTTTTCTTTATATAACGTCAAATTTAAAATTTTAAAAAAAGTATCAATCTGAGCCTCATCTTACAAACAAGATTTAAACTGTCAGTCTTGTAAGTAGAGTTGAAATTTGAAACAAACTGTCGTCTTGAACGTAGAGTTGAAATTTGAAACTAAAAAAAGAACGTATCAATCTAAGCATGATTTTACAAACTCGATTTAAAGCGTCGTCTTGTACGTACATAATTCGGTCACTGAACGAAAAGAATCT